CCGTGCCCCCCCTGTCCCCTGCCCCCCCCCCCAGGCCGACATGGCCCCGTGGCTCCGGGGGATCGAAGCCGCCGCCGGCGCCGCGCCGGGCCCGGGGGGGCTCCGGGAGGGTTCGGGGGTCCCCGGGGGTCCCCCCAAGGGGATGTCGAGGGCTCTGAGCCTCCCCCCGGTGCCCCCCCCGGCCGAGGGAGCCCCCCGGGCCCGCGAGCCCAAGGAGAGGGAGAAACGCTTCAGCTTCTTCAAGAAGAACAAGTAGAGTTTGGGTGGGGGTCCCGCAGGCACGGAGGGACGCGGGGGGGTCCCGAGGGGGGCTCGGTGTCCCCCCGTCCCCCTCCCCCAGTCCTGGTGATGTCACCGTGCAGCCCCCACCCCAATAAAGTGATTGGAGACAGAGATTGGGGGTCTGAGTGTGCTGGGGGGGGCTGGGGGGGACTGGGAGGGACTGGGATGCACTGGGAGGGACTCCCAGTGCCCCCAGTACAGCTCCCAGTGACCCCAGTACGGCTCACAGTGCTCCCAGTGCCCCCAGTACGGCTCACAGTGACCCCAATACGGCTCCCAGTGACCCCAGTACAGCTCCCATCGCTCCCAGTACGGCTCCCCGTGACCCCAGTATGGACCCCAGTACGGCTCCCAGTACGGCTCCCAGTACGGCTCCCAGTACGGCTCCCAGTACGGCTCCCAGTGCTCCCAGTACAGCCTCCAGTGCTCGACGCCCCCCTTCCCCATGAATGGACCGTCCCCGCCCCCCCCCCAGCAGCCACATGGACCGCTCCTCCCTTCGCCCCGCCCCCTCTTTCCTATGATTGGCTGCGGCTGCCGAGTGGGCGGGCTCACCCAGCGGATCGATGACTTCACGCTGCGGCGTTTGACGGACAGCACCGGCGGCCAATGAGCGCGCGGGAGGCGGGGCGGGGCCGGGAGACGCCGCCGCCATTTTGTGAGCAGCGCGCGGCGGACGGGGCAGGTGGGGGCGGGGGCGGCCCGGGGGGGGTTCGGGGGCGGGCACCGGGGACGGG